TTAGCATATTTTTGCCACTCTTACATCTACTACTAAAAATTCAGGGTCCTGAATATCTGGGTTGCTCTCAAGCCCATCATGCAGTTTATTTCTTTATTTAGAATGTTCCAGTGTTTGAATTCACGGAGTCTAGCAGACACTGTATTCTTCATAGGAAAAAACCTGAATACTAATTGGAAGTATTAGTTTTTCAGTTGTTTACACCATGCAGAGGAAGACAATGCTGGGTTAGCCTAGGCCAGTTTTTAGTAAAAGTAAAAAGTTACTTTTTCTCCTATTTCTCCCTTAAAAATATAATAGTAATTAAAAAAAAAAAAAAATAACAGGTATCTCTGAACTGATGCATTTAGTATAATTACAAAGGTCAAACATAAGTTAAACACTGTATTTAAACTAATATGGAATTTTTTTACAAATCCCTTACTTAACCAGTGTTTCCCTCTACTTCTACCTCTGAATTGTAAACAAAATCTGTATGAGAGCTGCTTCAGAATACATGCTTGGTATTTTATGATGTCAGCCCAGGATGCCAGAGGTAAATATTGGGGTGTGGCAGTAGAAGTTAAGCTTTCTACCCAATATTCCATTACACCTTAACTGTCACATGACAGATGACAGCACAGGGGCAGCCTGATAGAATGGCATATGACATGCAAGGGTATGTGGAGCAATGGTGTGTCCCTGAATTCCTCCATGTAGAAAAAAAGGCACACACTAACAGTCACTGATGTTTGCTGAATGATCGTGGACACCAACCAGTGGAAGTGAGCACAGTAAGGTGTTGAGTGGTGTGTTCCAGCAGTGACATCAGTGCTGTGAGAGAAAAGCCATGTTCCACGTGACCATGCACAGCTGTCACACCACAAAATGTAGAGCTTCTTGATCAGCTCATCCTCATGAACCAGTAGATTACAAACAGAGAGCTTAATATTAGCTTCAATGTGATAGAAATGATGGTGGCAATACTGGAATATCACAACGTTTGTGTCAGGTGGGGCCCATGAGTGATCACAAAGGAACAGAAAGAACACTACATGTAAGTTTGGCAAAACCTATTGATCCAATACGAGGCTGAAAGTGACAGTTTCCTGGATCACATCATTACTGGTGATGAGACAAGGAGAAACCACTATGAGCCGGAGCCAAAACAACACTCTGTGGAGTGGTGATATGTGAATTCCCCATCAAAGACTAATTTAAAGGCGCAGAGTAGGTAAAGTGATGTACAGTGTGCTGGAATAGGGATGTAGTGATCCTTCTAGATTTCCTGGAACCCTGAATCCCAAACCATCAACTCTGACCTCCATATCACAGAACTGATTGAGCCAAAGGCTCCAAATTCCAGAGTCAGGCTAAGAAAGAAGACAATCATTCTCTTCCAGCAAGATAATGACTGGTCCTGTACCAAATGTGAAGACTGTGGAGTGCATTGCCAGTCTTGGCTGGACTTTCCTACTACATCTATCACATAGTCTGCATTTGGGACCTTTTCGCTTTCACCTGTTCAGGACATTGAAAGATGGACAGTGTGGGAATATTATTCTAACAGCGATGCCATTGTAGCAGCTGTGCAACTGTACATCATCTCCTCTACTGCAGATTCTTATGACTACAGCACACAGGCTCTTGTTCACTGCTGCTAAAAATCATAGAAGGGACCTCCGATATCATCTAGTTCCCACCCCTTTGCCATGGGTGTGGTTCATAACCACTAAATCAGACACAAAATCAGATTCCTCAGGGTCTCATGTAGCCTGATCTTAAATGCCTCTAAGGACAGAGCATCCATAGCTTCTCTGGGTAACCTGTGCAAGGGCCTCACTATCTTATCAGTGAAAAATTTCCCAGTGACATCTAAGCTAAATGTTCCCCCTTTTAGCTTAAAATTGATCCTTTTTCTATGTTTTCCTATCATTACCTAGCCATATGCAAAAATGATTTCTTTCTTATTTATAAGTACTAGAAGATTGTAACGAGGTCTCTCCTCCAGACTGAGCAAGCCTCAGCCTGTCTTAATAGGAGAGGTGTTCCAGCCCTCTGATCATTTTTGTGGCATCTTCTCATCCCACTCTAACACTTCCATACATTTCTCATGCTGGGGCCCTAGTAATATGCCACAGATGTATTACTCCAGATATAGCTTCATGAGGGCAAAGCAGAGGAGGACAATCATCTCCTTCACTGCTGGCCACCACATGTGTTGGTGGAGAGCTAATGCATAGTTAATGGTAGTGACTGTGTTGAAAAATAATGCTTTGTATCGGAGAATTTGATCTATCAAATAGTGCTATTGTACTCTTTATTACAAACAGGAGGCATTGCTTTCAGAGTGACCTACATCATATTCTGCCTGCATAAGCACTGTTACTAACACTTTACAGTTCTCCATTTGCTTATGTTTTACTCTGTTTACCTAATTCATATTTTGTCTGAAGTGTTTGCAAAACTAAGTTATGAATACGTGCTTTTTTTAAAGCCCTGCTAAAGAAGTAAATTATAGTAAATTACAGTAGCAATTATCACAATACACTTAAACTTCAAATTCTTCTACTGTTGGCATCCTCGGCATCCTCCTCCATTATGTACAGTGCAACTTTCTGCCAACAAAGTGCATGACAAATCCAAAATTTTCCTGCAGTAAACCCATTTCACTGCCATTTTATGGACAGTGTGGTATGTATCTGCAGGACAAACAAACATTCATAAACATAGCCAGCAAAAGGATGGGAAATAGGACCCAAGAGCTGTTTCTTGGTGGCTGTATCAAGGAAAAAAAAAATATTCTTGAGCAAATCAAATGTTCGGTAATAACCAGCTACTGTATTGATACTTTTCAGACAGAGCAAGTCCAATAGGTGTCTAACTACTCCAGTAGGTTGGTCAATCTCTTTGAGGAACTATTACACTTGCTTCTGGGAAACTTATGTCCAGAGGAATCATATTTCACCCAATCTGCCATAATTAAAATTGCATTGTGGAGACCTAGGAGTCACTTCTAGATCAACTGAAGTGTCACTTTTAGAAAAGATAAGCAACTGTGGGATCCTGAATCCAGTCCTGCAAGCCATATCTCATGACAGAGAGGGACATACTTAGCCTTTAGAAGATTGTCTTCAGATATACCTGGATAGCCTTGTTTATTAAGAAATGAAAACTGCATAGATACAGGAATGCCACAGTGTTAGCTAGGTGCTGAGTCTAGCTCCTAGAGTTTCAAGAATATTTGTAGGAGTAAGTGCTCTCAGTTGTTGGTGTTGCCTTTTTGCCCAAGGTTGGTGTCCTACAGGACAGCTGGCAGAAATAAAATGTGTGAGCTCTGCTCAGCTGTCATCAGCCAAAGCATGTTAGTGTAACCTAGGCTGATAAATTACAAACATTGACATAAGATGTGAAATACTTGAAGGGTTGTACTGCTTTCAAATACTTTGGCTGTCAGCAAAAGAAACGCACAGAGGGCATGCAAAGCCTTTAGACAAGAAGTAATGCCACAGAGCCTCCACTCTAGCTGCAGCATTATTTTCCTAATAAGAACAAATATGATAGACAATGCCATCTCTTCAGTGAATTTTATCCTTCTATCCTAACTCCCACGACTACACCAAAGATGTATGTAGAAAATACACCTATATAAACTGCATTGTCTAATATTTTGTTCTGCTTTGTGAATGTTTACAGCTACTTCAGGAAAACATAGGTGAAAGGTGGGAAGGGCCCCATAAATGAAAGTAAAATGTCAAGAAGTCTTCACAGTGACCGAGAATAAGGGAGGTGAAGGGGAATAGTTAGTTTATAGAAGCAAGAATGTAGAGCTTGTTAGAAAACAAGGAATGGCAGACACTGGGTCGGGATAGTGAGGGGGACGAAGGCCATAAAGATAAGGGTTTGAGAACAGCCTGAGGACATTTGGCAGGGAGGTGAGTAGATGTCGACAGGGCAAGAAGTAAACGGTTTGGGTGGATGCCCCCCTGAAATGTCAGAAGTTTACAGTGAGAAAGGTCAGAAGCCTTTGCGAGGAAGACGACAAATCTTCATCCCACAACCCACTACGCACGCACAAGAGGGGAGGGTCTGCATGCTAATGAACTCTTGGGGGTGTAATGAATAAGTATCCGAATTTGGGGAAAACTATTCATTAAGTATTGGTTCAGCCTTTATCTGTAGCATGAGTTTTCCTGATGCTGTGCAAGTTAGGAGGATCTATCCCCCTTGCACCCAGTATCTGCGCAGCACTCAATAAATCATACCTGCTTTAGAGCTACTTTGTGATTATAGAGTTTGATTACGCACGTCATAGGAGACTGACCAGCTTGCAGCTCTTACACTCTTCTGAGAATGACTGAATGGCATAAAGAGCTGTCTACCATCTTTTCCCTTGCACTTTCATTTTTTTTTCTTAAAACGGACCTAAACTGCTGGACATTTTAGAGCTTCTATTCATATTTACATTCACTTTTAGTCATAAGCACATCATCATAACACATTTGATTTGCGCTCTATGTGTTCATCATCATTAACTGCAACTTCCACCTAGATAATTGTTTTGAAATTCAGATAAGCAGCTACTATATGTTATGTTAGTCTCTCCCACATGGTTTCTGTAACTTTACTTATTTAACTAATTGCTCTTCCCTGACTGGACCTAGTCATTAAACTATTAGAAACCAAACGTTCAATAGATCACTGACATCAGCGAGAATGTATACCAAAATCTCTAATTAGAATGTTCTTTGAGAAATGTTAGCCCTTTTAAATTACCATTATGATCTTTTCTCTTTCTGAAGTAAAGAACTGAACTCTTCTGGATGAATATTTTGCAGATAGACCGAGAAGATGCATGTTAACAACCTACTAGTTACAATATAGTTATCTATGACACAGAACAACAGTACCAGTGCAACAACGACACTACTACACAAAAAGGAGTGGACAAAATCACTGATCGGTTAACCAGAGATTAACAAGGCATTCATACCATTCCATCAGTTAAAGTTTGCACTTACCAACCTCCACAACACTAGAACAGTTCGGATCTGTGAAGCCTTCAGGACACTCGCATGAGTAAAAGTCATCATTCAGCCCTGACAGACAGATGCCACCATTTTTGCAAGGGTTGGAGTCACACAAGTCCCCTGTGGGTTAAAAGAAGAAAAGATTCTCATAAAAAACTCTGCAGAAGTTATGCACAAGTTCTAAGTATTCTAAGTGTGACTCAGAATGGAGAGGAATGGCTTTGGTTATATTATCTTCTGTTTCAGATATACGGATTCCTAAATCAGGACACATCAGGCTCAGGCATGCCACAGTACTGTTTTGCATGGGCTATAGAAGTTAGGCCAGCAGTGTGCTTTTACGTTGATTTTTTATCAGACACTGGAAGATCATCTCTACCTAACTTCAGGATAAAGTTCACCAGTAGAAAGTAAAGCCACTGAAGTATTTTGAGCTACACAATTGTAATGGTAAGGTTGCACTCAATTGATGATGTTTAATCTGGAGCTCTACAGTTAAACTGTGCTTCCAGAGAGGCTTTCACTCCACACAGAGACCTATATCAATACCACGGCAAAGATTTGGGCATTCACAGATGTCCAGTGTTCCTCCACAGTCCACTCCACATCCCAAGGAAGTTCACAAAGTTCTTCCACAACTCATTTGTTCTGACTGCAGAGTGAAACAGTCAGTCAAAAAAAACTGCTCTGCTTCAAAACCATGTCATGCTATGCACTAGCTATGCTTCAAGATTTCTTTGGACTGTGCCAGCACAGGCACAGCAGGTAGTTTCAGTGTTCCTAAATAAGGCCAAATGAGTAGGTTTTGCTAGTCATTTAATTGTTTTTTGATGAAGACAGCTTCCTAAGTCAATTAGCATCAAGGTGATCAACAGCAGAAAGATGTAAACTCTGGAAGATGTACCACAGGGCAGCTTCATATGCTCAGCACTTGAATATGTTTTCAATACTACTAGTATGTGCAATATATTATCAAATAGTATTTGAAGCAGCCTTCATGAGGAAATATTACAAAAAAGTGCCTGTCCAACTTTTGCAACTCCTCTAACACCCTGAGAGAATCATAGCTTCTTGCAGATCCAGAAATATGCTCAAACACAGGATTGAATCAGCTGAAAACATCTGAAATACTTGTTTTGTCACTATGAGATCTGATCTAATGTTTGTGAGTGAACAGCCTTGTGGATAGCTTCTATTTCCCAGCAAAACAGGTACCTAAACATGATGCATTTTACATTTCCATTCAGGAAGAACAATACGAGGTAATTTTGTGTCCATTCTCCAGTCAGATAATTGGAAGCAATTCCAAAGAATGCCTCTTTGTGTAGACTTAACTTTGTACTTTTCCTCAGAAGTTTAGATACACATTTAGATGTTCGTTTTTTTTTTTAAACTATCTCACAATTCATCTTGTAAGACGGATTTATGAGATCTATTGATTTCCATATTTTAATTTCACAATATAATGCAATATAGCATGACATAAACCATGGGAATACAAACCACATAGCTTAATAGCAGATCTCCAAAAAGTGAGTTTCCTAACATTTAAATATATTATTCCAAAATGTAGTACTATCTGGTACCTGAAATCTTCTAAGTATAATTATATGGTATATAATCCTGCAAGTAAATCGAAGTAATTGCTGCTCACATATGCACATATATGGTTTTTTTCCATATAATTTTATTTATTACAAAACTGCATCATTTTACAGGTAACATGTTCTATTCCAGAATGTTGTTGTTATTCTACAATATGCTCAGTATCATTTTTAGAAGTACCAGCAATTTATGTACTTGTTTCGTTCTGCAACAGTTTTGCAGATGCAACTTTAAGCAACATCTACAGACGGGCAATTATTAAAACCCAAGGAGTATCTTACTTTGTATACTTTTGAAATCGAAAATTTGCCTTTTGCTGTGCAATTGTAGAAAGAAATATACAAAATCCATTTTTATGTCAGTAGTAGTAACATTTTAATATGTTCCAGGCTACAGTAATAGTGAGGAGGCCCAGATTTCCTACACCTCACTGGCTCACAGACAGCAGATCAATGCCTCATGCATTGTCTAAGAATCACTTAAGTAATTTAACTGATGTATGAAACTTTATAAATTCTACACATCCATGGAAAAAAGAATACTTTTTTTTTTTTTATTGATTGTTAGTTTTTTAAATTTCAATTTGTCAACTTTAAATTACCTTCATTAAAGTGATTTATCGTGGATCCATCTTCTTGGTATTAACACATATATCTTGAATATTTTCCAGCTAAATTTGACATACAGCTATTTGAAAAGAGTCAACGGCATCTTTCTATGTCATAGGACTACATATAAGTAGAAATCATTTTCCTCCCTCTCTGAATATAAACAAGTTGAGACTTCTCAGCTCAGTGCTCATTTCATTATTTGGCCTGCCATGGATGTTTGTTTTGGAATCCATATGACTTAGGCATTTTGGTCATGAAAGAATAATCATTATGAACTGACTGCTCTGAAAACTATATTCCCTTGGCTTTAATTAAATAAATAAATTAAATAAAACCTAGAAGGGAAACACTTGTTATGTTAATCCTTATGGATATTCTCATTAAAGTGAAAGGGAACACGTTTATTAATTTTTTCCTGACTTCTTGTTCCCCTGATCTCATTTATGCAACATGAAAAAGAATATGAAAGACAAAAAGATAAACCACTGTATTCATCTGTATGTTTTATATTGATTGACAAACCAAACAAGTTGTTAATTTTCCACTGTAGTTTCAGAATTTGCAATCTCCCACTACAAGCACAGCATTTATGCTTAGCTGTGTTGTTTGTATTTTTCTGAAAATTTGTGTGGCTTTTTAAATCTGAAGTGAACTAATCTGACCCACAATTTAGAGGTAATAAAGCTGATGTTATCCTCTAACAGTCATTTATTTCCGTGTACAGGAAGTAAATGCATTAAGCGCTCTTCTCACCCAGCCATCTTGACCCAAATTCTGTTGTCAGTTACTGGTATGAATTTGTTGTTGTCATTAAATTACACCACAGAAATAAAAAGAGTGCAGCACACCTCTGAAGAAAATTGGACTATGAAAAAGACTGAACATAAACAATAACATACACAGTGAATACAAAAAATATTTTCAGAAGAAATCCTGACTTTTGTGAAAATAATTTCCATCTTTATTTAGAGGTAATCACTAAACAAAGAATTCTGAACTCTCTATATATTTAATAATTTACAGCAAAATTCTGTTAAGTTTTAATAAATGTTACACACAAGAAGTATTATTACTAGTGTTTGCATTCACTGCTTATGTCTCCTACTTTTCATGTTGTTTTTTTTCTCCAGTGGTAGGATCTGGTATCATTGGGTGCATAACCACCATGGCCAGCTCAGGACTAGCGTCCTATCTGTACTCAGAATTCATGATCACCCAGATGTCTGAAAACTCTCACAAAGACACTAAAATATCTGATATCCATCTAATATTCCCATCCATCCAAGGGAAACGCAACATTCAACTTTTTGGTCCAGTTATCAATGACATCAGCTATCAATGGATCTATCCAACAAAAAAACCTTAACTGTCTCTAGTCAGTTTTACAGTAGGATTACAAATGGCATATGCCTTTGTTTCATGTTACTGTTTTAAATGACCGTTTGTCTAGAGTATGGCAAGCTTAGCTCATAACACTTTTGCTATTTTATAGTTAACAAGTAATGAGCATGCAACTCATCCACAGCTTCTGGAAAAAAAATCACTGGAATATTAGAACATCTGCAAAGACTGTCAAAACAGATAAAAAAACCGCAATAACAATTTTTAGGCTGTATCATTCATATAACACTAAAGAGGGAAAATACGTACTCTGGACACCAATGGTGTCACCAATAAAACCAGCATGACATCAAATATGATGCTTTCAGAGCATCATATGTCTGAGCAAGTGCACAGATACAAGCAAGGAGTAGTTCTCTGTAAGACTAGAAATAAAGTCTCCGCAAACTTGCATGCCCAAATTAGTAAAACTCACTTAAAATGTTAGTACTCTTATTTATGACTTAGTGCTTGTGAAGTTGTGCAGAACAAAATAAATGTCACCTTTGAATCAACAATATTCCCTTCAATTTACATTTTACGCCTCTTGAGAGGCCATTTATACTGAAATATTGAACACTAATTTGTTATTCTACTCACTTTGATGTACAGGATTTGATTTTAAAGGCTCTGCACTTGAGAAAAAAAGATTATATGTGTGCACTTTGTTTTAAGAAACTGATTAAAGGATTTGTTACTATTAAAGTACTGTGTTGCACATGACACAACCTTAACACAAAAGTAGTTTCAGAATTTAACCACAGAGTCTCTGTAAATGAGAATAAAATAAAGGGAAGATTTATATCCTTAGAGCAATTCTTTGATTACTGTACTTTGAGCTAGTACATAGTGAAAGATAATACACTGTTTGCATGCAATTCTATAAATTAAACAGACACAATATGCAGAACATCGCTATTTAAAAACAAAAAGTAAAAAACAACAAATCATAGCATGCATTATGAAAAAAATGTTACAAAAAGGGTCCAATAAAGAACACAGGTGTGAAGTAAAAATAATTCATATTTTTTCTGTGTCTGGCTAAACATGCACCTTCTATTATGCAGCAATTCAAGCATTAAGGTAATGTCCAGTTGTGCGTAAAATTTTTTTTCTACAAGTATTGCTACCATTATTTCATCCTAAGGAATCTCTCAGGCTGCAAAATCTTACAAGGTCAAACTTTTGAGATTTGGTGCAAGATGTATAGAACAGAACTAAGGAAAATAAGTTTGCTTGCTTCTCTACAAAACTGCCCAAACTCACAACCACTTTGAATTTACCTCTTTTAGGGTACCCTTCTTTGAAGTTTCATGTTTTATGTTTTATATAAAACATATAGGTGTATATGCATTGTTCCTTCTTTTTGCATGACTCCTGCATGGATGAGTTAAAATTCAAATTATGTCAGAGCACACTGGACTGAGGAGCAAACACATATTTAAGTGATTAGATTATGCATTTTTAGGATTTGTTCTTTTTTCCTCACATCTTCAGCTTTTAAAAAACTTTCTTAAGGCAAAT